TATCTATGCTTCTTATTTATAATCTAGACCTAATCTGTAGTAAAGGCAATATAGCATTTTACATTCTGTTGCTATTTCTTCTAAGGTGTTGTTACCTATATTGTTTTCTTTTGCTAATTATAGCTACTATCCTGCCTAATGTTTTATAGGCTAGTGCTGCATGTAATACTAATTAGTGCATAGGTACTATTTAAATAGGCATTCTTTTAGGTTTATATAGACTAGTATTAGCTGTACCTATGTCTATCTAGAGTATTCTTTTATCTTTATAATTTAGAGAGGATGTGCCTTATACTAACATTTAGATTCTTTATATTACTTACTTTTATAAGAAATATAATATTAGTTAACTTATTAGGTCTTTAGTTTTTTTTAAGTAATTACAAAGCTAAAGGCAGTGTTCTAAATCTTTTCTAATAAGAGTGTAAGGTTTAAAGAGGTGTACCTAGCTATTCTAGGCCCTCTCTGTTATAGATTATTTTCTAAAAAAACTTCTATCTTTCTATTTTATTTAAGATGTTATAGTGTACCTTAGTAATGTTTAAGATAACTTTATATGTTTTTACATTATTATTAATGTGTACCTTATAGTATTTCTTTTTATAGTAGTTTTAGTTATGTGTGTCTCTACACTTCTAACATTTACTATAGTAAAATTAGTAGGCAAGTGTCACGGTTATGTTACAGCTATCCAACCCCTGAGTACCCTAGGCTTGGCACGGGGTATATAGGCTCCTCGGCCTCCGTACCTCTGCCTCCGACCCTAAGGTTTACTCTCGTTACCCCCCCTATCCTGCATTCCCTCTCTGTGACCTGTGTTTCCTGCTCGATACCTCTCACAGCAAGCTTTTCTATTAGTATGCCTATTATTAGTTATTATAAGAAAAGTCTATTCTTCTCTTATTTTACATTCTTAACATAGTTTATAACTTATGTTAAGTTACACTATTTCTTAAAGACAGCAGCTTGTTTAATTGATTAGAGAACTTTATAGTTATTCTAAACTTCTACTTTCTAGTAGTTTTTAGAACAGCTTAGTAGTTTATAGTTAGCTCTGCATTTCTAGCAAAGTTGTTAGTTAAGTCTGTTGTAGATTTCTTCTAATGTTAGCTCTTATTCTATGCGTATAACTTTTATAGTTAACGTACTTCACGGGCGAGTTGCTCACACACCTAAGTTGCTTACTTTTGCTAAGACCCTACTAAACTACTCTTTCTACACTAATGCGTTACTAACAACACTACTTAGACGCGCTAAAAGAACGTTAGATACAGCTTACACTCTAAGCTTTTAAATAAGACATAAAACTCTTAAAGAAATGTGCTACAGCTATGTACAGAGTTTCTTAAAAGACAATAAATAACTATAGCACTAAATAACCTTTACATGCTAATTCTACAGCTAACTTATAAAGGCTAGGTAATAAGAAGAAGCAGGTGATTGTTAAGACTATACTTAAGCTATATGTGCAAGGATTTTCCTCTTAGATAGCATTTATAGCTAATATAGCTAATTCTTTGCGCGCTAAGCATAATCTAGGCTATGTTAGCATAAACTAGCCTAGTACATTTATAAAGTGTTATTTAAAGCTTAAAGTAAAGTTTTAAGCGCAAGTATAGTTAATAAATATTTAGCCTATAATAAAGCTTATTTTACTAAAGTTGTATGTGTTATTATCTTAAATGCTATACTTAGCTTTAATATTCTCTACAAGGCTAAGCCTGCTTTAAATTACTCTAGGACTCTTACAAAGAGCTCTCTTATAGTTATACTACGCGTAAACATTACTTTAAGGTCTAGATAACACTTTCTAAACATACTAGGCTAGTTTATGCTAATATAGCCTAGATTATGCTTAGCGCGCAAAGAATTAGCTATATTAGCTATAAATGCTATCTAAGAGGAAAATGCTTGCGCATATAGCTTAAGTATAGTCTTAATAATTATCTGCTCCTTTTTATTACCTAGCTTTTATAAGTTAGCTGTAGAATTAGCTTGTAAAGGTTATCTAGCGCTATAGTTATTTATTATCTTTTAAAAGACTTTATATATAGCTGTAGCATGTTTCTTTAAGAGTTTTATGTTTTATTTAAAAGCTTAGAGTGTAAGCTGTATCTAATGTTCTTTTAGCGCGTCTAAGTAGTGTTGTTAGGAATGCATTAGTGTAGGAAGGGTAGTTTAGTAGGGTCTTGGCAAAAGTAAGCGACTTAGGTGTGTAAGCAACTTGCCTGTGAAGTACATTAGTTTTTTATCTTTATTCTCTAAGCTTTTAGAATCTAGATGGTTTTAATAAAAGTAGCCTACTTTTTTATAGTTTAGATAGGCTTTTTTCTTAAGCTATTTCTTTTATTCTTTACTTAAAGGTAGTCTATTACCTTTAGAAAAACTCTTACTTTTTTTTAAAGGTACTATATGTATATTTTACATAACTAAGGTTTATTAGCTTTTTATTATATTAGAGGGCTTTCTTTTTCTTTAGTGTTTATTTTAACTTCTATGTTATTACACCTGTTTTCTTTTCTCTTTAATGTTTTATATGTCTTTTATTATAAGGTATTACTTAGTTAATAAATTTTTTAAAAGTCTTTAGTTTTCTATTATGTATAAATTTATCTTTAACTATGTTGTTTAGCCTACTATAAAACATTCTACTTATAGCTCTCTAGTCTATCTATCTACAGATAGCTAGTTGTTTGCAGAAGTAGACTATGTAGCGTTAGACTGTTTTCTTTTAGTTTACTAGTTTATAAATAGCAGTTAAGGCTTTTTTAAAAGAGTTAATGTTACTAAAGATTTTTTTTATACCTAGTAAAAAAGTTTTTTATTAGACTTAAAATTTATCTAGCTGTTTACATAGAGTTAGAACTAAATAGCTAAAAAGCCTTTTAGATAAAGTCTTATTTATAAAATTATTTCTTTGTTAGTTTAAAAAGCGCTCTTATTATACTGCATATAAAAGTAGCATTATGTAAAGAAAGGTTTAAGGTTCTTTACACTTTTTATAAAGAGCTTAAGAGGTGCTAGTCTTAAAGTCTTCTTAGAGTCTACACTTAGTTTTTTCTAAGCTGCATTTCTAAGGTTTAATACCTTAAGTTAAAATGCCTAAATTTAGAAGCTTACTGCTGTTAGTCTTTAGTTTACTAATTAGGCTAACATCTATTTTAATCTAGCTAACTTATCTTTTATGTTATTTAACTATTAGTTTATTACTTCTTTATTTAGAGTTAGAACCGAGCTAGTACTAGCTAATAAGGCGCTAGTTATCTCTAATTTAGTAGAGGTAGTATAAAGATTTATACTTTATTAAAAGGTAGTAATTAATGTTACAATCTTTACTTTAAAAAATAGTGTCTAAAAGACTCTAGGCTAAAAGAAGATTAAGTGCTAGTTATAAGGATTTTTTATAGCTATATTGTTCTTTTCTTTATACACGCTATAAAGGTTTGCAATTTCTAATTACATGTTATTAATTTGTTTTATTAATTTATACTTGTTTACTATTAGTAGCAGTGTGCTTCTAGATAGTGTAGACCTAACTATTAAAGCATTAACAAGGGGGTTTAGAGGATTTATACTTTCTAGAGGTAGTGATTAATGTTACAATATCTACTTACTAGCTAAGGTCTCCTAGAACTTGACTGTTTAGTACGCGGACCTGGAAGCGGAGAAGGGAAGTGCGAGGAGAAGGATAGTATATAGCGTGGGTGTACCGTCCACGTGTATGTACTATATAGGTTTAGAGGTTCAGCCTATTGTGGTTTGCCCTAGGCTGCTGTATAAAGAGCAGGGGAAACAATCTTTAAGAAAGATAATAAAGAAGTATATATAAATAAAGATATGTAACGTACCTAACAGGTTAGCCGGCCACACAGGTTGGCTAGCCACTTTTGCCAAGCCTCTACCACACTCTACCTATCTATATAATGCCTTAACAACAACACTAGATTAAATCTTTTAAAGAACATTAAATACAGCTTACTTTTTAGGCTTTTAAATAAGACTTAAAACTCTTCTTATAACACACTATAGCTATTTATAATGTTTTTTACACAACACTAAGTAATTAACACGCTAGATAGCCTTTATAAGTAGAATGCTAGCCTAAATTAAGAAATCTAACTAAGCTTAAAAAAAAAGTAGTTGTTAAGTACATACTTAAGCTTATTACACGCAAATTTCCCTCTAAGCTTACAGCTATAGCTAATATAGCTAATTTCTTACACGTAGAGCGTAATTTAGGCTAAGTTAGCTTAAACTAGCCTAGTATATAGGTTAAGCACTACTTTAAGTTTATAATAAAGTTTAATTATAAGTATAATTATAAAAAAGTGCTTTATAAAGATCTAGAGGTTATTTAAGGCTAGTTTTACCTAGTAGCTAACATAAAAGCTCAGTACAGTATCTAGAATAAAGACATGTATAACTTTAATAAGTTAAGCTTTATAATAAGCTAGATATTAACTAAAGTAGTTATTATAGCTTTAAAAAAATAAAAACAGCTAAAGGTTATATAGTAAAGTAATAGAGAGTAAATAATAGTTATTTAAAGCATTAACATAATAAAGTAAGCTATTTTACTTTTTATTATTTTTAAGAGCTACTATTACCTCTTTACCTAGTATAAAAAAAAGAATTTACTTTAGAACTAAGTTATTATAGTCTCTAAAAACAGCTAGATAATAAATAAGCTTAGGCTATAGTAGTTAAAGCACTTTAATAAGCATATAAAAAAGGGTTATAAGCGCTTATTAGCTTTTTATTATTAATAGCTATAAAAGCTATAACTTACTTAATTTTTAGTAGTACTATAAGAAAAATAAAATTATTACTATTTATATACTTTTACACTTATTACACTTTTTATAGCCTTTTAATATAGGTTATTTTACCTTTTTAAAAAAGGTGTATAAGCACTAAGCTAAAGATCTTATATATAACTGTGGAGGATAAAATAGCCTGGCAGTAGCTGTTCAGAAGATCGGATGAAGTGACTCTGCTATCTAAGAGAGCCGAAGGCTCTCCTTATATACACCGAGCTTCGGAACATAATATCTCCAGATCCCGAGCTGCGTCCCAGGCTCTGAGCCCCCAGTCCCAGGCTCCGAGCCCCAGCCAAGGCTCTCAGTATACGCGACAATAACTAAATTACTTATATTATAAAACTTAAGTTCCTACTATGCTTTATACACGCCTATAATATAGTAATTACTTTTAGTAATATCTAAGAAGAGTTTTAAAGTGCTAGTTTAGTTCTATTTAATTTAGAATAAGTTAAAATAGCTTTTAATATCTAGTTATATACTTTATTACTACTACTACTTATTAATAATAAGCCCTAGTAGTTGTAAACTCTAAGTAATACTTTTAAATTTAAGTTATAATTAATACTTATAAAAGTAAAAATTTAAAAGCATATAAATAGCTTACTAATGTTTATAGTAAAGGCTTTTAAAAAGTTTTAAAAAGAGTAGGAATTATTGCGCATAAGCTAGTGTTAGTGTAAAAAGAGATTATAAAGCTTTAAGTAGTAAATAAGGCTACTACATAACATAGATTACATAAAAGAAAGTAGATTTAAGTAAAAAAGACTTTAATAGTTAAAAATAGGGCTTGTCTAACTACTTTAAAGGAGTTTAAAGCGTGTAGTAATAAAAAGAAGCTAAAGACATAAGTGTGCGCTAAAAAAAGTAAGCTAAGTTAAAAGTAATATAAGTAGTGCAATTAGACTAGGCATAACTTGCGTACATGTAAGAAAGTAGCAGAAGTAGACTTTAAATAATATCTTATGTTGTATTGCTTTATATAGGGCTAAAGTGGGCTGTTTTGCGCCAGAATAGGGTGGTTTTAGTAGGGGCTTGGCAAAAGTGGCCGGCTGTGACGGTGCTGCTTGTCAAGCTCCGCTGCTAGTCACATGATCTCGCTAAGTGTTAAGCGAGCGCGCTAGCGCCTTGGCGCTGCGCAAGCTTTTCTCTCGCGAAAACCCTTCGCCTCCTTCACTCCCCATCCTAGTTTAGCTGAAATAGAGCCGACCTACTCTGCCATGCTTCCCCAGCTCCATACGGTAGTAGAGACAGTGCTTGTCATCACACCGGCCAACCCGTTAGGTACGTTAATAGTAAAGTGTCTTTAGAAACTACCAATACTACTTAGTTTATGTAAATAAAAAGACTAAACGTTGACCACAACCTTCTAATAATAGTTAGGATCAAGACTATATACATAGGTTCTGCGCGTCGTGCGCGTCGTGCGCGCATCCTACTGCAGGCAACATTCCCCCGGAACCGTCGCGGGTGGCTGTTCTGCCCGCATGGCTCCGGTCCGTGTTCGTCCGAGGAGGTCACGTGATTCTTCTTGTGCGACCAAGAAGAAGTTCCACCACTGGTTGTCGTATAATCCAGTGGCCATTTGACACTCGCTTATAGTCCACTCAGGGACCGTAACACTTATTAGTGCTTAGAGCCTCTAAGCAGTGCTTGCACCTCTTACCTTGCGAGCACATTACCTAGTCTGGCCTTGTCACGTGTCCCGGGTCAGTCCGTCCTTCTCCCGTGGGGTTGTGCCTTGGCGGTGCTCCCTGTTCGTCCAACCAGACCGTTGTAACACACTCTTAGGTACTGGACCAAATATCTAGTACGGTAACAATATATGCCTCTAGTACTAATAATTGAGCTTCAAAACTTTCCTTCCGCAACTGGGATAGTGCCTACTGAGCCGCGGCATTAACATGTTAAAGATCTAAAATATGAGCGTAGACATAGACAGAGCGGGATCTCGATTCTTTATTAAATTTAACGTAAAATCTTTCCTTCAAATATTTAAATTAATTGCGAGACAGACCCAAATACACAGAAATTTGCAAATGATGCATGTCACAGCCTGCAGTGCAGAACCTGCCTCAACCCCTACATTGTTTGAGGACAACCTTCTCCCGCTTCTTCGTACAGGTCGCGTCGAAGACTCCGCGCCAGCTGAGGCAATCTGTACCAGGTGCACTTGGAAAGTTCATCGCCTCTAGATCTGGGCGGGGTTACCAATTGGAGGATGACTTGCCGCAGCATGAGCTGCGCACTAGTTCTGACCCCAAAATGTGGGCTTTAGGGCTAACGTGCGACTAACGGCTGCCCCTTGGAGACTCACGATGTTCGATTCGGAGTCGCTTCTGAGGTCTTGAAATTGGACAAATCACGCATGCTGACACCGAGGCTGGTATCATTTGAGGTATCCACGTGGCGTCCACAGCGTGACATCGCTCTTCATCTCCCGTGTTCTACGGAGGAGGTTGGACCTCTGCATTGCAAAAAATCCCAGACGCCTTGATTGGTCAGATGCTCCGGGTCTATCCAAACCGTTAGCTGTTTTCCCTCAGCCCAGACACGCAAAACTCATCAAAGTCAATATTTTCGAACTCCGGAATTGATAATGGGGAAGGACATAGCAGAAGAAGACGACTCATGCTCTCATCGCTTGCACCGTGTCTCATCAGCCGTTCTGATGCTTGAACAAGCTTGTTGATCTGCTGATGCAGCGCAGCCGGCAACAGAAAAGGCGCGACAAAGTTGCAGCACCGGGTTACGGCCCTGCATGGCGGGAAGCGAGGCCACAAGTGGTTAACAGTGGCCGAAGCCACCTGGTGACACGCATGTGAAGACAGCCACCGAGGACGCAATCTGTGAAGGCTTCAGAATGGCGCCGCCACGCGACAAGGTTCTCCAGACCGATATGCCGCGACACGGCTGTGGCGAGCGAAAGGAAAAGGCACAGGGTGACAATGCTAACAGCGCCACTAGTGCTTATGAACACCACAAATCATATGTGAGCAGACTGCAACACCCACCCAAGACAGTTAACAGCGACGCGGCCACGTTCTCTGGCTCTCACCTCCTGAGTCTTGAGGCAGATCAGAATGGTATGTGACACAAAGACTTGGGGTCGCAGCGCGTACGTGCCAGGTTTATTGGAAACCGGCTTCCCTGTACGACCACTGCAAACCGCACACCTGGCATGCGGGCAACTAGTCCAATGAATCCCCCATTTCATTATTAGCCTGCCGTTTTTGGGATGAGACGTGGTGGGCTAAGGGACTTTTCACGGGACGAAACCATACTGGCTGATGCGGAATGACCTGGCGGGATTGAGCCGACGGTCACACAGAGCGGAGAGCTGCGTCCTCAAATGGTTGATTGAGGAGGATCATTTCTTGAGGCTTAGTTGATTTGATCAAACGACACATATATTAGTGCCTTTTCGCTTCCCGTATCAAGATCGAAACACGAAAGCAATGTCCCTTGAGTAACCGGCAACCAGCAACAATGTTCCGATGTCCGGCGCTGAAGACTACTTGGAGACTCCCGCTGGCGTCGAAGCGCGAGGTTGCTGAAATCCGTCGTCATGTGTCTCTCTCGCCGATGAGTCTTGCTTCTGGCTGTCTCCCAAACCAGAGGTCGCACCAGGAGGCATCGGGAAATGTCTTGACCGGTTAGCGCTAGCCAACATGAGGCCAATATCCTTTCAATTCGCCCAAAATTGCATTCTTGGCCTTGGGACAGGGATAGTGATGGAAAATTCTGCAGGTCGCTGCGAGCCAAGACCGCCTCATGGTGATGCCTGCCCAAGCTTGGTTCCCCAGTTTTCACGCCTCCCCCAACGCCTCCGCCTTTGCATCTCACTACGGAATACTCGGACCACCTGTTGGGTTTCCTCTCTCGGCCATTTTCCCGCCCGCACCATGAACTGCTCTCCTTACTCTGCGGGACCCAGGCGATTTGCAGGAACGTGACAGGTTTGCCTCGTGTCGGGACTGGAGCAGAGAACATACCAGGTGCTCCTGGTCCTGATCCTGGGTGAAGAAGTGCCAAAGGCCCGGGAAAGATGCCCATGATTGACAGTCGACCCATCAGAGAGAGGCCTCGAATCCTTCTAGAAGGATTGGGTCCGGAGATACTCCCACATCCAGCTTAGCCTGATAGGACAATGCTACTGTACCCATGAACCAGAAGCCACGGTGCTCCAGTATCACAGTACTAGAGTCTGTTATTAAAAGCTGAGGGAGCTCCGCATTTGTTGGTATCCCTAGCTTCTTCTGATATATTTCCCTATCGCAGACGTCCTCTTGACCGAACGGCCTCATCCTCTCTCTTTTCACATACCCCTCTTGTAATCTGTAGCTCTAGCCCTAGAGGAGCGCTCGCAGTCATGCCTGGTGGAGGAGTTGTTACCGTCACTGGCACGGCAGATGTCTCTCGTGTTGAAGCGCCTGTAACTGTCAAGGCCTACCTCATTGTTGCTTTCGCGGCTTTCGGTGGTATTTTCTTCGGTTATGATACAGGTTGGATGGGAGGGGTCCTAGGTATGGACTACTTCATCAAGCAGTACACTCACAAGGAATACCCCGACATCATTTTCCCAGGAGACACAACAAGCGATGCGTATAAGGCCTACAAGAAGGGATTTGTGATCCCGCAATGGGAGCAGTCTTTGACCACGTCAATTCTCTCGGCTGGTACTTTCTTTGGAGCTATCATTGCTGGAGATGTCGCCGACTTCATTGGTCGCCGCTTGACTATCATTTTGGGGTGTTTCATCTTTACTGTTGGCGGTATCCTCGAGACTGCGTCTACCGGCGTTGGTGTCATGAGTGCCGGCCGTATCTTTGCTGGTCTTGGTGTTGGTTTCATTTCTGCCATTGTTATCTTGTAAGTACCACAAGTGACGCGTCGAATGCTCTCGAGTTCTAACGAGCTTGCAGGTACATGTCTGAGATTGCTCCTAAAAAGGTTCGTGGTGCTATTGTTGCTGGGTATCAATTCTGCATTACGATTGGTATCTTGCTCGCCAACTGCGTTGTCTACGCCACACAGAAGCGCCGTGACACTGGCTCTTATCGTATCCCGATTGCTGTCCAATTTGCATGGGCCCTTATCTTAGGTACTGGTCTTGCAATTCTCCCCGAATCTCCTCGTTACTTCGTTAAGAAGGGCAAGCTTGACAAGGCTGCGAAAGCGCTCGCCTCGGTCCGTGGCCAACCCGTTGACTCCGAGTACATACAGGACGAGCTCGCTGAAATCATTGCCAACCACGAATATGAGATGTCGATCGTTCCCCAAACCAGCTACCTCGGGTCCTGGATGTCGTGTTTCGAGGGCAAGCTCAGCCAACCATCCTCCAACCTCCGCCGAACCATCCTTGGTATTCTCATGCAGATGATGCAGCAGCTGACCGGTATCAACTTCATCTTCTACTTTGGTACCGTCTTCTTCCAGCAGCTCGGCACGATTTCCAACCCCTTCCTCATCTCGCTCATTACTACTCTCGTCAACGTCTTATCGACTCCCTTCTCTTTTGTCATGGTTGAGAAGCTCGGTCGCCGCAGGATCCTCATCTGGGGCGCCGCATCTATGGTTACTATGCAATTCATCGTCGGTATCATTGGTGCTACTGCTGGCAAGCAATCTGCGCACAATCCCGCTGCTGTGAAGGCTATGATTGCCTTTATTTGTTTGAACATTGCCTCATTCGCTACTACCTGGGGTCCAGCTGCCTGGATCGTAATTGGTGAAATCTTCCCTCTCACTATTCGTTCCCGTGGTGTTGGTCTCTCAACCGCATCCAACTGGTTCTGGAACTGTATTATTGCAGTCATTACGCCTTACCTTGTTGCCGACCAGCCTCACTCTGCTAAGTTGGGATCTAATGTCTTCTTCATGTGGGGTACGTACACTTGCGATACGTTTGTTTTATGTTCTGCTGACATTTCTAGGTGGCCTATGCTGCATCTCCTTTCTTTTCGCCTTCTTCCTCGTGCCTGAGACTAAAGGCCTCTCCCTCGAACAAGTCGACAAGATGTTAGAAGAGTCCACCCCTCGCACATCCAGGAAGTGGAAGCCTCATAGCACCTTTGCTGCTCAGATGAACCTAGCTGAGAAGCATATTGAGGTTCCCATCGGGACCGAGACTGTGGAGAGCAAGACGGCTCAGGAGGTTTAAACCTAAAGCTATAATCGAGACCTTAATCAATAGGATGATAGAATTACGCTGAATTGAAGGAGTTGGTGATTTGTAATGATCGCCGCTGCGCTGGGTGCAGTAGAGGGTAGTCCAGCATCGACGTAGTCAATAGGATGGGGGCAACGCTCAACTTTCTACTAATTGCTTGTGACGTGATGCAAAGAGATGCTGAGTTAGCTAATCGCTTGCCTATAGTCTAGTGATAATTAACCCACCTATCTTGGCCGGAGTCTCTGTCCGTGCCAAAGTCAAATGCTGTGAGAGGTCCTCTACAGGAGGGTCTAGTCGCCCCAGTAATGTTTAGTAGCTTAGGAGCCCGATTTGTATAGGAAATTTTGCCTCCTCTAGACTTTAGCGCAATCTACTATCTTCTACTACTTCTACTGCTGGGATTAGCGTAAGAATAAATTAATTTATCTAATTCTATATTAATTAACGTATTCCACAAGCGAGCAGTCTACACAAGCAAACTATTACAGATATCTCACCTTAGTCTGTCCGTTGCTGGTGACCTGCTAGCGGTGACAGAGGGTCTTGGGGAAGAGAGAGTGTAGAGGGAGAAGGAGAGTATAGAGATACTTCTCTAACGTATAACAGGGCACAAAGGGTGTACAGTCCATTGTACAATCCAGTCAGAAGTCTGGTAAGAGAGGAGGATGACAAAGAGGTAGGATAAGGTAGAGGTGTAATAAGATAACAAGATAGCTTTAGTTCTCTTATTAATAAAAAGAGATCTTCTGCACGCTTTATATTAGAAAGGATATTAGATATGTTGCTATACCTAAGGCAGTGCCTTAAAGATAAGAATAACTAACGTACACTACAGGCAAGTTGTTTACAAACTTAAGTTACTTACTATTGCTAAGACTCTACTAAACTACTCTTTTTACACTAATGCATTTCTAATAACACTACTTAGACATGTTAAAAGAATTTTAAATGCAGCTTATACTTTAAGCTTTTAAATAAAATATAACACTTTTTAAGCAACATGCTGCTGCTATTTATAGAGTTTTTTTTAAAAAATAATAAGTAACTAATACACTAAATAACATTTTTAAGCTAATTATATAGCTAACTTATAAAAGCTAGATAATAATAAAAAGTAAGTAATTATTTAGCATATACTTAAGCTAAATGCGTTAGGATTTCCCCTCTAGCTAGTAGCTATAGCTAATATAGCTAATTCTTTATATACTAAGCATAATATAGGCTATATTAGCATAAACTAGCTTAATACATTTATTAAGTGCTACCTAAAGCTTAAAGTAAAGTTTAAGTGTAAGTATAACTATAAAAAAGCATTTTATAAAATTTTTATAGCAATTTAAAGCTAGTTTAACTTTATAAAGAATATTAAAGCTAAGTATAGTATCTAAAATAATAACATATACAACTTTAATAAAATAAAGTTTATAATAAGCTAAATATCTACTAGAGCAGTTGTTATAAGTTTAAAGAGATAAAAAATAGCTAAAAGTAGTCTAGCTAAGTAACTAGAAGTAGATAACAGCTATCTAGGGCATTAATGCTAAAAAGTAGGCTATTTTATTTTTTATTATTTTTTAAAGTAGCAATTACTTTTTAAACTAGTATAAAAAAAATTTTACTTTAAAATTAAGTTATTATAGTCTCTAAGCATAGCTAGACTACTAATTAGCTTAGTCTAGACTAGTTAAAGCACTTTAATATACATATAAAAATAATAAGATTATTACTATTTATATACCTTTTTACTTATTATACTTTTTATAGCTATATAATGTAGGTTATTTTACTTTTTTAAAAAAAGTATAACGTACCTAACAGGTTAGCCAGCCACACAGGTTAGCGAGCTACTTTTGCCAAGCCTCTACTACACTCTACCTATCTACATAATGCTTTAATAACAACACTAGATTAAATCTTCTAAAAAATGTTAGATATAGCTTACTTTTTAAGCTTTTAAATAAAACTTAAAACTCTTTTTATAACATGCTGTAGCTATTTATAATGTCTTTTATATAACACTAAGTAATTAACACGCTAGACAGCCTTTATAAGTAAAATACTAGCTTAAATTAAGAAATTTAACTAAGCTTAAAAAGAAAGTAGTTATTAAGTATATACTTAAGCTTATTATATATAGATTTCTTTCTAGGCTTATAGCTATAGCTAATATAGCTAATTCTTTACGCGCAGAGTGTAATTTAGGCTAGGTTAGCTTAAACTAGCCTAGTATGTAGGTTAAGCACTGCTTTAAGTTTATAATAAAGTTTAATTATAAGTATAATTATAAAAGAGTGCTTTATAAAGATCTAAAAGTTATTTAAGGCTAGTTTTACCTAGTAGCTAACATAAAAGTTAAGTATAGTATTTAAAATAAAGACATGTATAGCTTTAACAAGTTAAGCTTTATAATAAGCTAGATATTAACTAGAGTAGTTATTATAGCTTTAAATAATATAGTAAAGTAATAAAAAGTAGACAACAGTTATCTAAGGCATTAATATAATAAAGTAGGCTATTTTACTTTTTATTATCTTTAAAAGCTGCTATTACCTTTTTACTTAGTATAAAAAAAAGAATTTGCCTTAGAACTAGGTTATTATAGTCTCTAAAAATAGCTAGATAATAAATAAGCTTAAGCTGCAGTAGTTAAAGCACTTTAATAAGTATATAAAAAAAGGTTATAAGCGCTTATTAGCTTTTTATTATTAACAGCTATAAAAGCTACAACTTACTTAATTTCTAGTAGTACTATAAAAAAAATAAGATTATTACTATCTATATACTTTTACACTTATTACACCTGTTATAGCCTTTTAATATAAGTTATTTTGCCTCTTTAAAAAAAAGTGTATAGGTGCTAAGCTAAAGATTTTATATATAACTAGATTACTTATATTATAAAACTTAAGTTTTTACTATGCTTTATACACACCTATAATGCAGGAATTACTTTTAGTAATATTTAAAAAAAGTTTTAAAGCGCTAGTTTAGTTCTATTTAACCTAGAATAAGTTAAAATAGCCTTTAATATAAAATAGCCTTTAATATAAAATAGCCTTTAATATTTAGTTATATACTTTATTACTACTACTACTTATTAACAATAAGCTCTAGCAGTTGTAAACCCTAAGTAATACTTTTAAATTTAAGTTATAATTAATGCTTATAAAAGTAAAAATTTAAAAGTATATAAATAGCTTACTAATGTCTATAGTAAAGGCTTTTAAGAAAGTTTTAAAGAGGGCAGCAATTATTACACATAAGCTAGTGTTAGTGTAAAAGAAGATTATAAAGCTTTAAGCAGTAAATAAGGCTGCTACATAACATAGATTACATAAAAAAAGTAAATTTAAGTAAACAAAACCTTAATAATTAAAGATAGAGCTTATTTAACTACTTTAAAGGAGTTTAAAGCGCGTAGTAATAGAAAGAAGCTAAAGACGCAAGTGCGCGCTAAAGAAAGTAAGCTAAGTTAAAAGTAATATAGGTAGTGCAATTAGACTAGGCATAACTTATATACATGTAAAAAAGTAGCAGAAGTAAACTCTAAATAATATCTTATGTTGTATTACTTTATATAGGGCTAAAGTAGGCTATTTTGCGCTAGAATAGGGTAGTTTTAGTAGAGGCTTAGCAAAAGTGGCCGGCTAACTTGTGTGGCCGGCCAACCTGTTAGGTACGTTATAGACACTAAGCTAAAAACTTTATATATAACTAAATTACTTATATTATAAAAATAAAGTTTCTACTATGCTTTAAAGTAGCTTATAATGCTATAATTACTTTTAGTAATATTTAAAAAAAGGTTTAAAGCGCTTAATTAGTTTCTTTTAACCTATAATAAGTTATAATAAGGTTTAATATAAAGTTACACACTTTATTACTACTACTACTTATACATAATAAGCTTTAGTAGTTATAAACCCTAAGTAATGCTTTAAAACTTAAGTTATAATTAATGCTTATAAAAATAAAAATTTAGAAGTATATAAGTAGTTTACTAACTTTTATAGTTAAAGTGTTTAAAAAAGTTTTAAAAAAAGTAGTAATAATTATGTATAAGCTAGTATTAGTATAATAAAAAATTACTAAGCTTTAAGTAGCTAATAAGGCTACTATATAATATACATTATATAAAAAAAGTAAACTAAAGTAAAAAAAACTTTAATAATTTATAAAAGCTTATACTTAATAGCTTTAAAAAAGTTTAAAGCGCATAGTAATAAAACAAAGCAAAGAAGTAAGTGTAAGCTAAAGTAAGTAAGCTATTTTAAAGGCGCTATAGATAGTGTAATTAGACTAGGCATAACATGTAAACATGTAAGTAAGAAGCAGAAGTAGTATCTAAATAATATTCTAGGCTGTACTGTATAATATAGTGCTAGAGTAGGTTGTTATAGGCTATAATAGAGTTTGTTAGGGTGTAGTCTTAGTAAGGGTGTAGTCTTAGTAAAAGTAAGCAACTTAGGTGTGTAAGTAACTCGCCTGTAAAGTATGTTATAGAAGATAAAGAAGATTTAGAAGAGTTAGAAAATAAAAGTACTACTAGTAATAACAGTAGTTATATATAGTAAAACTGTAAATAAAAACGATTTAGTTTATTTTATTTATTTAGTATATTTTAGTTATATAATTTAGTTATTTTCTTTATTTTAGTTATTTCTTTTACTTTAGTTATTTTTTTTATTTAGGTTATTTAGTTTATATAAGTAATTTATTTTATTTAAGTTATTTAAGTTATCTAAGTTATCTATTTTATTTAGTTTATTTAAGTTACTTAGTTTATTTACGTTACTTAGTTTATTTAAGTTATTTATGTTATTTAGCTTATTTAAGTTACTTAGTTTACTTAAGTTATTTAGTTTATTTAGATTATTTAAATTATTTAGTTAGATTAGTTTATTTAGTTGAATTATTTTACTTAGTTTACTTAGTTTATCTAAATATATTAGTCTAAGTAAAATAATAAAAATAAAATTAAAAGTGCTATAAATTTTAAATAGCTAATTAAGACTTATGTTACACTTTTATACTATTTTTAGTAAATAGTAATTACTAGATTACTATAGTAAACAGCAACTTTGTAGGTGTAGCGTTTAGCTATTACTTCTATTATAATGC